AAAACAGCACAGTTCTGTTACTCTTGTAACAGAACTCATTTTTTTTTTAAATTAGCTTCTCAATCATCATCTGGAAGGAAACCATTCTGAGCAACATTAAAAACAGCTCTGATAAAGCACCGTCACTACTATGTTTCATAAAGCAGGTCCACATATGAGTGAGTACATGTAACATGTTTGTCTTTTTGTGATTGGGTTACCTCCCTCAGAGTGGTTTCTTCGAGTTCCATCCATTTTCCTGCAAATTTCAAGATTCCATTGTTTTTTTCTGCGGAGTAGTACTCCATTGTGTAAATGTACCACATTTTCTCTATCCATTCTTCAGTTGAGGGGCATCTAGGCTGCTTCCAGTTTCTGGCTATTACAAATAGTGCTGCTATGAACGTGGTTGAACAGATGTCCTTGTTGTATGATTGTGCTTCTTATATTAATTTTTTAAAGATCTATTTATTTTATATTTTATGTGCTTTGTTTTAAGTGTTTTGCCTGTGTGTGTGTGTGTGTGTGTGTGTGTACCACATGCGTGCCTGGTACCCTTACAAGTCAGAAGTGAGCAATTGTTTTTTACTTGGAACCCTTTTTTTACCCAAGAAATTTTAAAACAATCCTATGTGTATGTACTCATATATAACTAGCATACAAATCTGGTATTTACTGCTAATAAAGCATAAAGAAATATTTTTAAAACAAGCCATAGATATGTGTGTAACATGTTGCAATTTATTAAAAATGAAGACAAAATTGCACGCTGAGAAGAAGAAGCTGGGTGTGCTTCTTTGTAGAACACATGTCAAACAGCTGACGAATGACAGTAGAAATACTGAAATCCTTTACCTCCCATAGTTAAACCACGATGTTTGCAGAAGAGCTGAAAACTTCGAATGCACAGTAACAACACTGTGATTCATAATATGCCATAGTCTCAAATCGGAGCCTTGGCATTTCGGGCAGCGTTTGTGGGTGTCGGTTGGCAGGACGGCTTCAGAAGTATGAGAAGCGAACGTTGTGTGCTGAGAACCCAGGCTGCACTGAAGCCACAAATACGGGAAACCAGGTGCCCGAGTGTCATTGTGTGCCTTGTTTCTAATTACTTTTCGGCCAGTTTTCATTCACGGGCCCTTTTTTGGGTGGGAGATGGGGAACAGGGTCTCCCTTACGTACTCTGGGCTGTAGAGCAGCTCTGCCCCTGCCTCTGCCTCCTGAGAGCCACCACACCCAGCTTCAGAAGACTTCTACTGGTTTTTAGCCGTCCCCGCCCCCAGGCTCCTGTATGATGTAGGGTCATGGCCCTGACCCTGTGTCAGCTTTGTTAGCCCAGGCAGCTGCCCATGCAGTGGTTCTCACATGTGTGGGGCATGGGTTCCAAGACCTGCAATAGCCGCTTCAAGACCCAAAAGCACAGATGTATTCTATAAACAAGGCAGAGACAGAAGTTGATGAATGGTACTATTAATAAAGCACAGCCTTGTGACTGTATCCCGCTGTGCTCCCAGCTTCTTGTTTGAAGTGTTTTTATAGACTCCGCGTCACCATCATCACTGCTCTTGCAGTTTGGCACCGCTAGTAAGTTAAAGGGGGTGGGGTGGGTGCCCCTGAGGCCCACAGTCGCCTGTCTGGTTACCAGGGTGGCTAAGTGGCTGGTGGGCAGGGGCCCTGCGCCCCGCGGGGCGGGGG